TGAGCACCTTCCAAAAGATGAACTCTGCATGCAACAGAATACAAACATTCTTGCAATAAGGTGATTGCAGCTACATATTGCCTTTTCATACTTCTCCATGTTTTCAATAGCTTCATTTACCAACACATATCACACACCAACGATGAGAGAATTGAATCTCTAAAACAACAACAATGGCATAATGCCAATTCAATCATAACTAAATGAGATACACATACACTATAAACTCACTTGAGATTGCAGTATACCATCCAGTTTCATCTCAAGCTTCTCTCTCTCAATTTCTATCTTCGTTAGTACCATTGAATATCGCAGTTTGGCTTGACTATTCAAAGAACATATGAAATTGCCCTGAACACAAAACAATTCAAAAAAAATTGTTAATCTCATTGGAAATGAAATATAAAACCACTCACAACGATCTTACATGTCATATGATTTCATATCAGTAGCGGATTTTGGTTAGGTTCAAATCTGAAGGAATAATAGCTTATCTTTTTTCGAAAGTATGATCATTACCCAAACTTGAAGGAAAATGGTGTGATTCACAGCACAAGCTCTTGCATTTGCAAACCGCCATTGGATGAAACGATTATCAAGCAAACGTAGTTGATGAACCAACTCAATATTTAAAGGTTTCTTGTGTCTGAAGAGATCAATGCCCTTGCTCACAATCTTCTCCACACTTTTGGGTTGAGGTGACCTCAGGCTAATGTGGCCATGAGACAACGCCCAGTGAGACTTGGAACTCACGTACCCAATGACAGAATTGTTAGCTTTCTTCACCGCTTTGTGCGTCTTCGACACCCATGAATCGTGAGAATCTTCCCCTTTTGTTCCCATGTATTTAGAAAAAACCTTCGTACCCTCTTCTCTCGAAATCCATGTTCTTGCCAGAGAATGTGGTATCTGATTCTGTGTCAATTCAATTCTTAGAATAACGAAAGTTTCTTTGATGGGTGTTTTATTTTCGTTCAAGGTGAGTCTTTTAGGAGCAGTATCAGAATCAAGTTTCTTCATTTCATCGTCTTCTTCGAAGCCATTGACGTTGCTTCTTAACTCCCTGCAACTCCTATGTTTCATGCGAATAGAGAAAACAAAAGCATGTTCTGATTCTGATGATGGATGGTTTGTTCACTCTTTCTCAGCCTTTCGTTATCTTTGTGATCGCCCAAGAGTGACGGAAATTCTTAATTTTAAAAAAATCTCACCTTTAACTCTCACCATCATTCATTATAGTTCTTTTTTATATTTTTTATGCCATCTTGTAAAAAATATTGATGGTTTCTCACACTTAAATTTTTTCCATTATACTATCTTTTTTACTTATTATTTTCTTTTTTAAAAAATATAAAAACTTACATTTTTATAATCATTTAATCCTTATTATATTTTATATCAAATGAATTTAAAATTTGTTTATTATTCTTTTGTACAAAGTTATTAAATTATTATTAGGATAGTCGTAATTTATTTTTATACATGTTTTCTTTTTCACATAAAAACATATTTACTTAAATAGTCTTATATTATTTAAAATCATCGTTTAATTTAATAGTTGATCACTTTTAATATTATTATTTTAAAAACTTATTTTTATCTGTTTATTAGTGTTATTGAAGGTTGCAACTAAAATATGTCATTAGAGAAAATCAATTGTTTCAATTCTTCCCTTCTTAGGTTCTCTTGCGATAATTGAGTGGTCCTTTCTTCTTCTTTTTCTTGTCCTCTCAAGAGTTCTTCTTGATCTTTCATAATCTGTTATTTCAAATTATCTCAAAGCTTGTTAAAACTAAAAAAAAATAAAGAAACCAATTGAAACATAGGAAAATGATATAATACAGAAAACAAACTATTGCAAAAAAACTTATTTGGATTAATACTTTTTTAAAAAAATCGATCTTCTACACTTTTTTTTAAAATTTAATCTAAGATGTTTTTAAGCTAAATAAAATATACACTTAAGAATTATATAAACCTATAAATTATATACCATTTATTATTAATTTCATTTTATAAAACATGTAATTATGTTACTTGTACTAATTTACTGTTTGGAAGACTTAAATATATAATTCCATATCATAAACATGTAACTTGTAAGACCCTGGAAAATAACGTACGCTGAAGTACGCGTGGCAGCTGGAGAACGAGACACCTCAACAATGTACGTGGCAGCAGCAGGAAGAAGCATTCCAACAGCGGACGCCAGGTGTCACGCTGCATGGAGCCTGGAGTGACGAACGCAGTGCTATCCGCGTGTCACTCGGAGAGCGTAACATTTCATTGATGAACGACAGGTGTCATACAGGGGGAAATCTGGAATCGGTAGTGGAAAGCACGTGTCCGCTAAAGAGAGGACGTTCGTTCTGCGCTGGAAGAAAAACTGAAATTTCTCAGAAAAACACTCCACTTTCTGCACACAACCCCTTTTTCCGATTTCTGAAGAGAACCTTTCTCTTCTCCTTCTCTCTGAGTTTTCTTAACCTTCCCTCTAATAAAACACCCGTTTCATCTACTCTGATCACCGTCGGGCACCGTGGAAG